CTGTTAGATCTAAATGATACGTTTTTGGCGAGGTTTTTGTCATTTTAAGTACCATAACTTTGTTTTTAATTATTATGTCTTTTTCTTTAGTTGCTTTCCCATCTTCCTGGTTCTGCTCCTCATGGCCTAGTCTTGTGGACACCAGCAAGCAGTGGGACTATTATGCAAGAAGAGAGAAGATCGAGATAGGGAAAGAGACAGAGACAGAGAACGAGATCGTGATCGGGACAGAGGAAAGAGAACGCACCAGAGAGAGAGAGGGAGCGTGACCACAGTCCTACGCCAAGCGTTTTTAACAGGTTGGTTGGTGGCAGGAGTTTGTGCACATGTATTTTATATACACTCTGAATTTGGTTAGAAATGTCAGCCAGGTGAGGTGGTTCAACCAAGGCAGGAGGACCACTTGAGCCCAGGAGTTCTAGACTAGCCTGGGCAATATAGCAAGACCATCTCTACAAAAAACACAAAAATATGAGAGATTTTGACTTACTAAAATTAGCTGGCATGTACTTGTGATCCCGGGTATTCAGGAGGCAAAGGTTGAAAGGGTCACTTGAGTCCAGGAGTTTGCAGCTTCAGTGAGCTATGATTAGACTACTGTATTCCAGCCTGGGTGATGGAGTAAGACCCTGTCTCTAAAAATCTGAGATATACAAAAATATGCCTTAATTCTAAAAGTAGCAAAAAAAAAAAAAAATGAGGCTGCTTATTAAAATCAGTTGCAGATCCCACTTTTTCAAGAAATAAAAAACCAAAGCATTGCTATACAAAATCTTGGATTACCCTATAAATTGATCATTTAACATGATGTGTAATTATATATTTTGTATTTATAGATCTGGTACTAATTTGGGAACAAGCATGATTTGCCCCTCAATTCAACGAATATTGATTCCCCACCTGTCTGTACAAGAAGCTAACATGGGGCCTTGGTTGGGACTTCAGATCACATCTCCTTGTACTTGTACAGTTTGACAGCATTTCAAGTTGACTGTCCTGTTGTCAAGAACACTTGTTTCTAATTTCAATTTCAGCGACGAGGAGCGCTACAGATACAGGGAGTATGCAGAACGAGGCTACGAGCGGCACAGAGCCAGTCGGGAGAAGGAGGAGCGGCACAGAGAACGGCGACACAGAGAGAAGGAGGAGACCAGGCACAAGTCGTCCCGGAGGTTTGTGCTTAATAACGTAGTGAATCCGTTTAAAGCTGGGAGAGAAATTAATTTAACTTCAGGAAGTAAAAGCAAACATTTCCAAAGAACCAGTGGAACATACTCTGAACCTTCCAGTTAGGAACACGTAACTATTGAAGTAGATGGTTCCTCATGAGACTTCAACAAAGATTTTTAAGTTCACCCACGTCGGTACGAGCGTCCACTATAGCCAGTAAGCTGTGATGTGACTCTTCTAATTTTTCATTTAGCAAAATAAAATTGTGAACATTTAAAAATAATGTAATAAAAACGTATGTATATGTTACATGACAAGGAAAGCTGCCTGTAAAGTACAACAAGCTTTCAGGCTTTCCTCATCACACAAGAGCAAAATGGATCGGTCGTCACTGCACAGTGCGGACTATCATGCGGACCGTGAGTGCCGGCTGTGGGCGAGGTTTCGCGGCCGGTGAGCACCGCACCGCAGAGGTCAATACCCCCCAACCAAAAGTCGCATATGAGATTCTGACTTACCATTATCTCATTGAGAGGGGAAATTTTGACCTACGAAGCAGTCTTTTTTTATTTCCTCTTTTTGAAGCAGTCTTTAATAGTAAATGTTATTAAAGCAATGTTTGGTTTAAAGAAGATTTAGGGCCTTAGTCTCAAAAAAATTATTAAAATTTAATGCTGTTTGCCAAAAAAAAAAATCAACCCTATAAAGTATTTGCTGTTCTGATATAGCACTTCAGTTTCTAATTCGTAAGTAGTCTTTCCGAATAACAGAGACAGGCACTGGGAATCTGGGATAATATCAGTGAAGATGACCCTATTTATAAATATAATCTGTATTGAAGTCGCGTAACTACTGATTACTCCCCAGACTGTTTGCGATAAAGCATGACTTATTTTAACCCCCGAGTTATATTGAGAATTTGCTTATGGTGGGTTGATTTGTCGCTAATGACATAAACATTTTTAAACAACACACCTTTTCTTCTTCTTTTTCAGTAATAGCAGACGTCGCCATGAAAGTGAAGAAGGAGACAGTCACAGAAGACACAAGCACAAAAAATCTAAAAGGAGCAAAGAAGGAAAAGAAGCTGGCAGCGAGCCGGCCCCCGAGCAGGAGAGCACGGAGGCTGCCCCTGCAGAATAGGCACGGTCTCGGCCTTTCGTGTATATTGGAACCAGACACATAGATGCTATAAATCTTGTTATTTTTCTGGATAATGTTTAAGAAATTTACCTTTAATCTTGTTCTGTTAGTATGAAAAGTTAACTTTTTTTCCCCCAAAATAAAAGTGAATTTTTCATGTTAAGTTAAAAATCTTTGTCTTGTAATATTTAAAAATACAGCAATGACTTTATATCCAAGAAAGTAATGTGAATGAGTCACTTAGGGAATGTAAAGGGCTGTGTTTAGCTATGTAAACACACACACAGTACCTGATAATGGTCAAGGCTTCCCCTCGGCCAGTTTCTTGTTAACCAGTCTCCCAAGAGGTTGCTCTGCAGAAGGCATCGAAGGGCCCCTGAGTCTTGAGATGAAAACTAGTATTTATCATCACTGCTGTGAAACTCTTGCTTAGTAAAGGACTCATGTACATTTTTGCTATCACAACTTTTTGACAGCAGGCTTTCAGTGCTCTAAATTTGGGTTCGCGGGGAAACTAAATTGGGTACTTTTATATCCAAATTAATGAAATCTATAAGGCATTTGGGCAGCCGCTGTAAAATAACTTGCCCTTTTAGTGTAGTTCATGGCAGGCACACGTTCAGATACTCATACTGTAATACAAATTGGAATCGCTCGTGGCCGTCTACACAAGCCAGGGTCAAGTGGATTTGGCCTTTCTTGCTGCGTTTTCCAAGGCTCAGTGGTAGGACAGCACAGGGAGTTTTTATACAGTTACTGTTGTAGAAAAGAACAAGATTTAGATTAGTTATTTCTAAGAAAACAAGTTTGTAATTCCCTGAGCATTTTTAGGGCTAACCTTAGGAGGTATTTGTCAGTGAGGGCAACAAACTAGGATCTTTTAAATGGTGGTAACAGTAAATATTAATATCACATACTAAAAGACAACTAATTTTTGGAAAATATTTATTATTTGATGAAAGGAACGTTTCTCAGCAATGCATTTAAAAAAACCTTTTGGCTTTAAATTTAAAAATATTGATAATTCACCTTTTGCAGACCTCAACATATACCAAATGTTTAAACTGATTTGAATTCAGTGGGTCATACAAATCATTTTAGCTGTTGAAGGGCTTTTTATCGAATAGAAAATTATAAACGTAAAGTCGTGGAGTAATGAGAAATCCTCCACCGTGAATGAAATCTATTCGTTTTTATTTTTGCAGAATCATTTTCTGAGGTGTGACTGGCTTCCATCAGACCACACTTTTCCTGACATTTTTACAATGTGTTCTTTAAATATAAAAATGGGCGAGATAAATATATTGTTTCAGCTTAGCCTATTTGTGATTTTTCTGTTTTTTTTTTCTGACCTGTCATTGATTCTATAAAAAAGTGCCAGGCCAAGAAACAATAGTGAGAGTTATTCTTCCTTTAAGTTCTTTCAGCATCCTTGCCAAGCTAGCATGGATCATTCCTGAGGTACTTCGCCCGTTGACAGCCAGAAGAATATCACCACATCTAAAAAACACAAAAGATGATTCATATTTTAATCCATAGCTGAAATTAATGAAAGCTTATTTTGGTGATACCAGTTTTTGCTACATCTGTCCATTTAAATTACATTTCTTCTTCTAATTTAGAGATTTCCTCTCCTCAGTTTCTCCAAACTCACTATCCATTCAGCTGGTGTGAGTGAGAAGGGACGCTAAAAGTATAGGAAGTTTGCACTATGAGACCAAGAGTGTGTGTAACTGTTTTGGATTTCTTAGCAATTGACAAAAATACAATAAACACATGCCTTATTTCAACTGGGGCCAAATTTTTGTAAGATAGAATGTTTGGATGTAAATTTTTGTTAACTAGTCATTATTACCTAATTCTTCCATCATTGTATGCTGGTGTTCCTTCCACAATGGATTTGATAAAAAAAGGTTGGTCCCCGTTGTATTCTTCATAACCGCCTACAATGCAGAAGCCCAGACTTCCAGCTGTGTTTCTTCGCAATATAACATCTTTGCAGTTATACAAGTACCTGAAATAGAATGTAATCAGTGTATATGCACAGTTTCACTATTAGTGAATAATTATTGTGATTCATCTCCCATTCCTTTTATTGGCTTTTTTTTTTTTTTTTTAAGGTTAAGTAGCACTGAATGGGTCCCATTCAAAATCAAAATCGTATCATAGCTTGGTGACCTTTGTGCTATTAGCTGACTTTTTGTAATTAAATCAGTTTCCCATAGCTGAAAACCCTTTAAAAATCCGGGGAAAGATAATTTTGGCTTAAAGACAACTTAATAATTGTGTGAGGAAAAATGCTGGATATGCATAAATCCTTACTGATGAACCAGATTCAAACATACTTACTGATGTCACATTTTACTTGTAGTCAAATAATTTAAATGAAGGCAAAAATCCTCAGAATAAATGATCTTAATGAAAAAAGTTCACATCTAAGCCTAATTTGTGGAAGTTTTCTTGACCTTTGAAAAATAGTAGTTTATACCTAGTTCTGCATTTTGATAGGTTAGAGAGAAGCATGCGGGCATAAAGTGAGTAGAAATCGAGGTGTGCACGTAAAGCTTGCAATTCACAAAGGAAGAAAACCAAACTGGCAGTAAGCCGAGTGGGAAGTTATAAAAGGAATGGGAGAAGGAAAGACCACAGTTCTGTAAACGAGTAGAATCCTCAACTGAAGTCCAAAATGAGACTGAAGAAATTCTTTATCCAGTGGCCAGTGGATCAGTGTTCACGAGCAGGTAAAGGTGACAGTTACCCCAGGTGTCGGGAGCTGGAGTTTACCCTTGCCCACCAACCACGTGGGTAGCTGTGGTCCACGGGCTAGTTCGAAAGGAAATGAGCATGTTGGTGAAAAATCAAGATATGGCTGTTTTGTTTATATACTGTACCTTAAAATATTCTTTAACTGCCTTTTTTTTTTAAAAAAAAAAAACAACAATAAAAAGTCTCTTGTAAAATGTTAAGTGATGAAGTTGGCCATTACGTTTGTTACTGACTTTGCTAATCAACGTAACGTAACTTTCTTCATGATGTTGCTCTCGCTTGAAATAAAACTTTAGGGTTTGTTTGGCACATACCTTTAAAATGTAGTGCTAAAATTCAGCTCTACCCAGTATTGTATTTGTTGGCATACACATACATCATTTATAACATTGTTTCTGTCACCGAAATGATGGATGAAAAGTATCGATTTCGTTAGGTAAAAAAAAAAAAAATTCATTTTTTATGGTAAAATATTTATCTGCTGTATTTCACAGTAAATCTTGATGCCAGTAGTGAATTCATCTGCTAGGAGCTGTGGTATGTCTGGTACCACATTTTACATAATAGTTCACTGACTGCTCATGTACAAAATAGGTAATTGGCTGTGTGCCCCATCTTTTGGAGAAAGGAGGTAAATATCCAAGGTCATGACCAAATACCTGTCTTAATATTTCCTAGTGTGTGCGTGGCTTGTCGAATATATTATATTAATGTGCATAAGCATAACTTGAACTTCGGTGTTTATTCTTGTTAACCAATTGGGTGTTTTTTCCATTAAGTATCCCAGACCTTAAATTGGCGACTCTTAATGGATATTTCATTTCATATGGGCAAGCTATGAACGTAACTGTCAAAAACTTGGCGATCCCAGTATAAAATTTTTCAACCTAATAATAAGTCACATGGTCTATTTTCCTGGCCTCTTGGCAAACCTGAGAGGGCTCTCCTGCTCGATTATTGTTCCACAGATGTTTATTGAGTGCTAACCATTGCACAGGCCACTTTCCTGGCAACATCTGCAAGTGAGAGGTGTTGCCACCACAGTTTTCTGTCATTTAAAAAGTGTTTTCCTTGAGTTGTGTTGAGTAACTTGACTGTAGCATTGAGAACTCAGTATGTTAAACTCTTTCAAAGTCAGACCTTGGTTAGTTGGGACTGATGGACTTTTTTCCTAAGTTGAATTATTTCACTCCCCACTGCAAAACGTGGCAGCTGTTTTTGATCAGTGACCTTTGAGATACTAAGCGACTTTGAACTCAATGTAAATGTGAGCTTTTTTCCCTATTCTGAACTCATTCTCTAAATTTAGGCCTGATCGAAGATGATCTGTCATGGCATAAGGAATAGCGGGGAGTTTGGTGATTTTTCCCTATAAGAAAATTACAGGTGTCTTAAGAATGGTGAAGTCTCAAGCTGTCAAGAAGCTAAAGTTTTTCTAAACTTTCCATATATCCCTTTACATGCCCGTTTCAGTAAACATTTGAGAACACTACCTGACCTTGAGCTAGGTAGGTCTGATAAATACTAAGAAAACATCGACTCTTTCCTTGAGAAAAACACTGTTTAGCATTAGAAAATAAAATGAGGGCATCAACCAAGGGCAGTCATGAGATCCTATTTCTTCCTGATGTGAATTCTTTAAAACCTCTCATTGCTATTATAAATGGTGTTAGAATAGCAGAGGTTGGAAAGACAGAGGATGTGTAGGATGTTTTGACCTCTTCATGAAAGCAGAAAATTAAATCTATAACCAGTATTCGTCCTTTTACAAACAATCCCCTATTATTTTGCTAAGTCCTGTGTTCAGAAGGCTTAACTTCTTGGGCCTGATTTACACGTAACCATGACCATTAACTTAATAGATTCCAGCGAGTCATTTAGAGCTTCCTACTGTGATTAACTTAAAATTCCCTGCAGCTTCTAGATCATCACATGCCTCTCAGTCTGTGGTGAGGGACCACTTTTTTTATTTCCAGTTGAGTGCAGACTAATACTTAAAAAATGAATTTCTAGAAAAATGAAATCTCAAAAAGGCATATAAAAATAACCCACGTTTTTATTGCATTTAAAAAATATAGTCAAGGACATAAAAGGAAAAAGAATTACTACTTCCTCAGCAATGACAGCTGCAAAACTAAGCTTCATAGGTGAGTAAAAGAGGCATGAACTTTATCATTTTTTTGAAAAAAGTCCTTTTTTGAAATCATTTCAATTGTTTTCAGAAAAGGTGTATTCTACCTTGACAAAAACCGATACACCATCCAGAAATGGGATATTTACTTCCCTAATTTAGCTAATAATGTTAAAACCATATGTTGAAAGCAGGTTTGATTAAAAATTTAGATGATCATAAAAATAGCCTTTAAAAAGCCATCTTACAGTCTCAGATTTTTATACATATTTTGGTTACAGCTAAAAAGTTATCCTTAAAGTATCATAGATTGTAACAAAGGTCCTATTGTGACTGAGACGTATGCAACTCACACAACATAACACCCACCGTGCAAATTCAACAACTTCCTATTCAACAAGATGAAGCAATGTCAAATGGCTATAAAAGTTTCTAAATAATCTCAATTTCTATCCTCACTGTAGACCAATGATAGTTTGTGGGTCAGCGCTAATCTGTTGCCCATCGCTCTAGACAACTTTTGAAGATGTGAAAGATAACAAAAGAAATATTAACACATTTCTTTTAAAAGAGTTATTAAAGAAGAAAGTTTGGGCTGGGTGCTATGGCTCACACCTATATAATCCTAGCACTTTGGGAGGCCGAGAAGGGAGGATCGCCTGAGCCCAGGAGTTCAAAACTAACCTGGGCAACACAGCAAGCCTGTCTCTACAAAAAAAATTTTTAAAAATTAGCCAGGCACAGTGGCGTATATGCCTGTCGTCCCAGCTACTTAGGAGGCTGAGGCAGGAGGATCGCTTGAGCCCAGGAGTTAGAGGTTGTAGTGAGCTGTGATCTCGCCACTACGCTCCAGCCCGGGCAATAGAGTGAGACTATCTCTAAAAATAATAATAATAAAAAGAAAGTTTTGGAATAAGATCCTGCCTCAACTAGAGGATAAATTAAAAATTGTCTTAGCTAGATTTCTTCATAGTGGTTCTTATCCTCATGGTCCTTACCTGTGTCATTACATCCATTGCTACCCCTTAATGTCCCTTTCAGGCATCTCACTCTGATCTTCACCTCTAATCTTTCCAGATCATGTTCTTGGGGCCCCATCCCAACAGATTGCCGATTCCATCTGAACTGAACGCCTGCTTCGGGCTAGCAGGTTAAGAGACACCTCTAAATAAGAGACATCGAGCCCACGACTGAATAGCAAGAAGTAGCCACCCAGCTGAAGCGTGGCAGGGTACTTCAGGCAAAGACAACCTGGAATTTTTGAAGTTTAGTAGAAAACAGAATATTAACTGAAAGAGACTTATCCTAAAGCAGCAGCAGAACAAAAAGAGGAAGTAACAAGGGCTTCAGCTAATCGGTGATGGGTCCAGAACTAGAAATGACATCTTAGGTTTCTCTTCCAGTGCTTTGTCCATCATATACTTTTATAGCCTCTTAGTCTTGAAATTCTATTCAAGTGTGGTATGCCAATCTATCTAATAAAACTTTTCCTTTTAAAGTATTTTGAAGTATTCTTTGTTTTGTTTTGGTCTTTTTGAGACAGTCTTATCTCACTCTGTTCCCCGGGCTAGAGTGCCGTGGCGTCAGCCTCGCTCACAGCAACCTCAAATCCCTGGGCTCAAGTGATCCTCCCGCCTCAGCCTCCAGAGTAGCTGGGACTACAGGCTTGTGCCACCATGCCCGGTTCATTTTTTCTATATATTTTTAGTTGTCCAGCTAATTTGTTTCTATTTTTAGTAGAGATGGGGTCTCGCTCTTGCTCAGGCTGGTCCCCAAACTCCTGACCTCAAATGATCCTCCTGCCTCGGCCTCCCAGAGAGCTAGGATTACAGGTGTGAGCCACTACATCTGCTGACCTAAAATATTTTGAAGTATTCTTAAGACAAACCACCATCCAAGTAGGTCTTTGTTTATTCTCTGGCTTCCACTTTTCCTTAGCACCCACTGTATATCATATGTCCCAGATTATGTACAGTATCTCAAACTGGATTCTCTCAGGCAAATCAAGAGTTCAGGCATCCTGGAAAATGCAAGTTATGGCAGAAAACAGCTGTGAAACCAGGACGAGATGTACCAGGACCCACTCCCTAATCTGACCACGGCATCCCCCTGGTTTTAAAAAGGCATATAAAGCCAGAATATTTGTAGTTGTTTATTTTGTATAATTGAAACTTATTTTTGATACTTCCTTGGCAAGTTCTCTTCTGATGTTAATTTTAGGTGAGAGCTGAGCTGTACTAGTTGTAAAAGACTGAGCCAGGGGGGTGCTGGCTGTTCTTTAGAGAGTTAACAGAGGAAAGATCCAGATGTTACTACTTGATAAAGAGAAATAGAGGCCAGGTGTGGTGGCTCAGCCCTGCAATCCTAGCACTTTGGGAGGCCGAGGCGGGAGGATCACTCGAGGTCACGAGTTCGAGACCAGCCTGAGCAAGAGCGAGACCCCGTCTCTACTAAAAATAGAAAGAAATTAATTGGCCAGCTAAAAAATATATAGAAAAAAAATCAGCCGGGCATGGTGGCGCATGCCTGTAGTCCCAGCTACTCGGGAGGCTGAGGCAGGAGGATCACTTGAGCCCAGGAGATGGAGGTTGCTGTGAGCGAGGCTGACGCCACGGCACTCACTCTAGCCCAGGCAACAGAGTGAGACTCTGTCTCAAAAAAATAAAAACAAAAACCAAAAACAACAACCACCTTTGCTCTGAAATTTCAGGGAGCTTTAAAAAAATAAAAAAGATATAATTAATAATTATAAATTTTAAATAAAAAACCAAAAACAACAACAGAAATAGTTTCAGGAGAGTAAAAGGTTAAGTTCTTAAAAAAGAGGAGAAAGGGTTGAACGTGCATTACTCTCCCACTAGTCCAGATGAGAGCAGGTTTGGAAAGACTTCCAGATGTGGAATGTTGGACCCTAGAGCCAGCAAAGAACAGAGCGGAAGGTCCTCAGTGTTTTCTGAATCCCCTCCGATCTAATGGGGCCCCTGATAATTTGTCCAGCTGAGAGACGACGCCTGGAGCTGCCACCTAGGGTCACTCCAGCACAGACACACACGCACGGTTGACAACGCACATTTGCACTGTCTTCTAGAACCTTCTTTTGCTCTCTCTGCCCCTGCCTGCATCTGACCCTCCACCGGTTCCAAACACGCACTCCGGGCTCAGCACCCAGCACGGCCCTCTTCGCATGAGTCCTCCCTGTGTGGCTCTGCACCTGAGAACACAGTCACACGATTCCCTGTGTCTACACCTGCTGATGTGGCGTGCCACTTTTCTTCCTCAGTGGAGAACATGAGGCCACCGGCCGCCTGGTACGCTGGGGCGAGTCGCTTTCCTTGAAATCTGTTACTCAAACGGGGAAAATGTTTGACTAAGCAGAGTTGTCACTTAGAGAGACATTTCTGTGAATTCAGAAAGAATCTGTTTGTAGCCTAGATCTCTAGCAATCCAGGGACGGTGACTGTCACCCAGGTGGGACACGTGGCTTAAAAGTCTCAGAGCATCGCTCGTGCCAGATACTGGCGCATCAGCAGGGAGAAGAAACAGGGCCTTGAAGCTCTGAGCAGCCGAGATTGGAAATGTGGGCAGATGACAGCTGGGGGTCACATCCTGAGACCACCTGAGGGCCTGACAGAGGGGACTAGGGACTTCTAGAAAATTCCAGGGTGGACAGACTTCCAGTTTCAAAATGGCAGAGGGAAGCTGGTGTTTTCCCTTCTGCTTTTATTTATTATTATTATTTTTTTGAGACAAGAGTCTCACTCTGTTGCCCAGGCTAGAGTGAGTGCCGTGGCGTCAGCCTAGCTCACAGCAACCTCAAATTCCTGGCCTCAACCAATCCTCCTGCCTCAGCCTCCTGAGTAGCTGGGACTACAGGCATGTACCACCAGGCCCAGCTAATGTTTTTCTATATATTTTTAGTTGGCCAATTCGTTTCTTTCTAATTTTAGTAGAGATGGGGGTCTCGTTCTTGCTCAGGCTGGTTTCGAACTCCTGACCTCAAGCAATCCTCCCGCCTCGGCCTCCCAGATTGCTAGGATTACAGGCGTGAGCCACCACGCCCGGCCTCTCCTGCTGCTTTTAAGAATTGCTGTAAAAGCAGCTAGGAGACTTAGAAACCAATGCAAACTCCATCTTAAAGAAAACAAAGAGTTGCTATATATGAGAGAGCGGCCAAGGGCTGCAGAGAGAGAAGGTGGAAGAGAGTACTCCCACAGACCATGCCAGTAGAGCCCGGGGTCTCAGTGAACGGCCACTCTCATGGCCACTCTGCCCCTTCTACATGGGAACAGGCGACACAGTGTTGGCTGGCTGCTAGCAGGGCTCGCCTGGGCTCAGTTTGGCAGAGAAGAAAGGCACGAGTGAGTTAGTGCAAACCCGAGAGCCAACTGCCTGGATGCTCAGCTTTCAACTGTTTAAGGATTTTTACAATATGGACCGATTTTTAAAATAATTCATCAACCTGTAAAGACTCAAAAAGGTACCTAAGTCCGTTTATATTTGAGGCAGGTATTTCAAAAATAAAAATCTCAGTTGAAATTACAAAAAGAGACCAACCTACCTCCACCCTCAAGAAAAATGTCCTAAAACCAGACACCTTGCTTCCATTTTTTCATATTTAATCCTATGCTAGTATCTCATCTTCAGTGACTCTAATAGTTAAACATTTAAATTATGCATCTGGAATTGTAATGGCAACGTAGTCTTTTTGAAGGCCAATAGTTTATGCTCTGATGCAGGTAAGCAAACACCAATTTATCTGTTCTTTGAATATTTAATTTCTGTAGATAGCCATTTAGCAAGGCTGACCCTTATAACCACGCTAAAATGACAACCCAGCAGTTTCCTGGATTTTTTTTTTTTTGAGACAGAGTCTTACTCTTTTGCCCAGGCTAGAGTGTTTAGCGTCAGCAACCTCAAACTCCTGGGTTCAAGCGATCCTCCTGCCTCAGCCTCCCGAGTAGCTGGGACTACAGGCATGCACCACCATGCCTGCTAATTTTTTCTAATTTTAGTTGTTTGGCTAATTTCTTTCTATTTTTAGTAGAGCCGGGGTCTCGCTCTTGCTCAGGCTGGTTTCAAACTCCTGAGCTCAAACGATCCTCCTGCCTTGGCCTCCCAGAAATGCTAGATTAACAGGCGTGAGCCACTGCGCCCAGCCTGCTTTCTGGATTTTTATACAAGAGAACTTTTCAGGAGTGGGCAACTAAGGACAGATATCTGAGAAATGTCCCCAGCCGGCAGATGCTTACACATCTGGATGAAGGCCATGTGTTCTGTTGTACTGTTCTATGTACAGCCAGGTACAGCTCACCGCCAGGCTGTGTAAACGCAGGCTGGGTTTCTGCCCCGCTCCCTGTCCTTTGAGCTCCTTGCTGCATGCACAACCTGCACAGCTGTCCAGGGCAGCCCTGTGAGCCCCTCCACGTGAATACCTACTACTGGTGTTTCTGCACCCAGGCTTCCGTCCCTGCAATAGGATTTCTGCACGCATTTCCAGTTACAAACGGGAAAACAGAATCACTTCAAACATTCCCAACAGCCAAGACTGGGGCTCATTAAGACGCTAGTGCCGTGAATCAGCCCGAGAGAGTGAGAGAGCGGGTTTGAGGAATGCAATCGTCTCCTCCCACGGGGATGTCACACGCTGGGACTCACCGTGGTAATTCCAGCCACATGACCCAGGACGGGGACCAGTCGCTAGGTGGAGTCACGTTGTGGTTGGAGTCCAGGGTGGCCGGGCTGCCGCAGTCCGCCTGGGGCTCGCGCTCCGTGACCTCCAAGGCTTTGAGGACCACCGAGGACGAAGTGCTTTTCAACAACGCCACCGCCTCGCTCCGGCTGACCTCCGTTAGCTCGACCCCATTCACGTTCAACAAAATGTCACCTGGTGGCCAGAAGAGCAGAAGCCAGCCTTAGCGAGAATACAAACAGGGACTTCTCTTTAAAGGGCAAGGGGCCGGACTGAGTGGCACATGGGGACATGGAGAGGGCAAGGAGGGGGTGGCGTCACCAGCCCCTCGTGTTGGACATGAAGCTGGGTTTTCACAGAGCAAACGGCAAACAGTGTGGGCATGCCAAGGCTCTGATAAGTCCTGTTTGGGGAAGGGAGGGAGGGAGGAAGATAGATAAGCCTTGCTCACTATTTGATCAAAGAAAACCTACTTTTTCACTCCTTTTTTTGTTTGTTTGTTTCCTGTTTTTAGCACAAAGGGGAAGCTCTTGGCGAGAGCTCCAGGCCCTGCACGGAGCCTGGTATACAGTAGACGCCCAATAAATACGGATTGAATGAATGAATAAGCGACTAACTACCCACCAGAGTGTCTGGCAGAGGAGTCTACAGTCGTTAGGAAAAATGGGCTTGGAACTGTGCTCTTAAAAGAGGTAGAAAGAAGAGCTAACGTCCCTACTCATTATAAAGGAGAAAAGAGCTAGCATTGGTTAAGCACCTACATACGTGTAGGGCCATTTCCACACACCGTGTCATAAGATCCTCTACTAGCTCGTGTTTTTGTTGCTAAAAAGTCACTTTGTTTGCCCTCATCACTCTGCAACTGGGAGCTTGCAGAAAAGCAAGAGAAATTAAAATACATATCTCCTCTACGCCAATATTTTATTCTTTTATCTTCTTCCTGTTTTTCTGCCTCCCTTTGCACGTCATCTTTTGGATGGAGAATAATCACAGCAGGAGCAAAAATGACGAGAGGGGAGACATGAGAAAGGAGTTTCCGACCCATCAGCTGGCTGACGAACCCCCTTCAAAACACACCAGCCCCTGCGGCTCCTCCAGCTGAGAAATCGTACTTTGGAAATTTCACAATTTTGTCCCTTGAATGTGGGCCTTGATGTAGCACAATCCGTCATCCATCTGAGCCATCCCTTTGTGCGAATCGACAATGTTACCAAGAATATATATTTGTAGAGGGAAATTTGATATCGCCTTCCTTTTTACTCGAAGTAGCCCAGAACACGTTAAGATTAAAGTACTGCGACAATTTCCGCCAATAGGGAAGTACCTGGCATGGTTCTTTCACTCAGTAAATGTTCACCGAATCACATCTATCAAATGACCTCTCCTACCCAACCCATGAAATGGACCGATTCAGGAATTTCTTTGTCGCCGGATCAACCCAGCGAAGAATCACTTAGAATAGTGAATTCAGTCAAATTATGCCATTTAATAGAGACGACTTGCTGGTAACGGCAGCAGTTCCCTGTTCCTTACTGGGATAGTCTGGAGGTTTCTAGCGCTAGTAGCAGGCAAGTAGATCCGCATCGACCTACAGGAACTAACAGGAGTGAAACCCAGTCTAGCAACTATGTTCGAACCAATCATCGTCAACGGTTAACAGACGTCCTTGCCAGATTGCTCCTCACATCCTCTCGCTAATGCGGGAAACGGTCACCTAACACGGCAAGGTGTAGTTTCTCTTACTACGCTGCCACCCCAGCGCCTCAAGTCCTTTTACTTTTTTTTTTTTTTTTTTTTACCTGTTTTGATTCTTCCGTCTCTGCTAATGACTCCTCCGGGCTCGACGCTGATGACGTAGATAGGCAAGTCCCACTCCCTGTGGGACGCTCCCCCTGACACGGTCATGCCGAGAGACTCATCGGGCTCTTTCCGTACACTCACCACCTTCTCACGACACCCGACTGCAGGACGGAGGGGCTGAAGGCACAGACAGAAAAACAGGGCACACGTATTCACACGCGGGCTTCGTGTTTTCTACGTGCAGAAACCGCCGAGGCTGCACAAATTATGTAAACCGAATCGATAGGACGGTGGTCCCTGAAATCACAGGGAAAAAGACACAGGGAGAAAACCCTCCCCTTATCCACCCCCTGCCATTATAGGGTCACATCAGCTCACATTCCATAGACTAACTCGCAGAAAGTTCACAGTTCAAAAGGGAAACCTTGGCCGGGCGCGGCGGCTCACGCCTGTAATCCCAGCGCTCTGGGAGGCCGAGGTGGGTGGATTGCTCGAGGTCAGGAGTTTGAAACCAGCCTGAGCAAGAGCGAGACCCCGTCTCTACTAAAAAAAAAGAAATTAATTGGCCAACTAAAAGTACATAGAAAAAATTAGCTGGGCATGGTGGCGCATGCCTGTAGTCCCAGCAACTCGGGAGGCTGAGGCAGGAGGATCGTTTGAGCCCAGGAGTTTGAGGTTGCTGTGAGCTAGGCTGATGCCATGGCACTCTAGCCTGGGCGACAGAGTGAGACTCTGTCTCAAAAGAACAAAAAAAAACAAAATTTTTTTTTTTTTTTAATTCGGTCTCCATAGAGGCTGTCAATAATTGCCGACACGGACTATATTTCAGGTTGTCATGGAGGAGTATTGGGAAAAGATTAATTAGCAATAATTGCACCTCAGGATAAACCTCCTTGGCTATGATATTGCCACCGTGCAAAGCTACAAAAGGAAAATCTTAAGCATGCGAAGTGAACTGAACCCAAAATTTTTCAAGTGAGTCATTTAATCCTGATAGTAGTGAGTCAGCACTTCAAAAAAAATTCTTACCGGCTGGGCATGGTGGCTCACGCCTGTAATCCCAGCACTCTGGGAGGCCTCGGTCGTAGCCTTTTTTTTTTTTTAATGGAAAACACAGTTTCTATTCATGTGTATGCCAGTGCTCATCTTGTGATTCGGTAAAAGTATGAGAGTTATTTCCTTTATTTAATATTTTACATTTAAATTTAAAATATTTAAATTTAAGATTTAAATATTTATTAAATATTTAATATAATAAAATAATTTAATATAATTTAAATATCAAATATTAATATTTATTTAAATATAAATAATTTAAATATTTAAATATATAAATATATTTAAATACTATTGATTTAATATTATTATATATAAAATATTAAAATATACATATATACATATATAATAATATATGATAATGTGTATACATATTTATATATTATATATAAATAATACATATATAGAAATATATAAATATATATTATATTATATAACTATTATATAAATTTAAAATATTTAAATATAAAATATTTAAATTTAAAATATTTAAAATATTTAAATTTAAATTTATTTCCTTTATTTAATATTTCCATATTTAAAAGTATGAGAGTTATTTCTTTTATTTAAACCAGGTAGTGAACATTGCTCCAAGAGAAAATCTAGGGAAGGTCTAGGCCAGGCGTCCTCAAACTGCGGCCGCCAAGGACATTTATCCGGCCTGGCAGGTGTTTTTGCCGCCGCTGCCTGTCCTGCTTAGCAGCCGACTCGTCCCGGGCCCACAGTGCGCACTCTCCACCGGTCTGGGGGACAGTGACCTGGCCCCCTGTTTAAGAAGTTTGAGGACCCCTGGAACTCTAGTTCATTCCAGTCTTTGAAAAGACATCATTAGATACTTCTAATTAATTTGCAATGAACGGCTGCACTGCACACAAGCCTCGAAGGCCTTCCTGGGTGGAATAAGCTACACAGTGTGCAGTAGCAGCCCAGAGCAAAGGTTTAAGGTCAAAGGTCATCGGTACAGAAAAAGAAAATTATTGGCAGCAACCCTGACATCCCAGGAAGAGAAATCATAAATCCAACAGTCACACGCGTTCGGGT